AAAAAAAAAAAAAAAAAAAAAAAAAAAAAAAATGTGGCTACTAGAAAATTTAAAACGATGAGATGTGATTGACATATTTTATTGGACAGCACTGCTTTAGAAGTGCTCCAACCTTTGGCTGCGAAAGCCTGGCTAACTTCTAGATTCCTCTGTGGGACTTCCCACTGAGCAACTCGCAGGACCTCCATCTCTTCCGCTGTAGAATGGAAAGTAGTTTCTGACTCAGATCAAGCTTACAGCTGAGCCTTACACTAAGACCTTGCATAGGCTTTCTCCCCTGAAATTCTCCAGACGTCATAAGACTGTATTAGCCCCATTTTATGTGAGGAAGTTGAGGTTCAGAGATGGCAGGTAATTAATTGCTCAAGACCACAGAGCAGGGAATATCTAACCCAGTGTTTGAACCTTATGCCCAGGTCTTACCACCCCACCACATGCCCTGCTCTACCAAAACTTCCAAACTCAGGTCCACTTGATTGAAAGCACTATGTGTTTTCTTCTCCACTTTTGCTTCCACCCAGTATTCTCCAGTACGCTTTGGCTTGCAAGTTACAATGTTACTAGGCTCATGTAACTGAAGTGTCTGAGGATAGCTTAGTGGAGCTTAAGGCACGGCTGGATCCAGGAACTCTGTCTTTTCCCGTCTCTCATCTCTACTACCCTATGTGTTGGTTTGTCTGTAAAATACCTACCAGCAGCTCCTGGCTTGCTTCCTACCCAACCCTAGTGGACAGACAGCTTCTCCTTCCCACATTCTCAACAACCAAAGTAAAATCTTAAAATTGCATCTCACGGGCGTGTCTTGGGTCTCGTGCCCACCCCTGAACCAGTCCATCATGGCCAGAGGAATGGGATGGATTGATTGGTCCAGCCTGGTCCCATGGCTACTCCTGAAGTGGGGTCCCAGCCCTCTACCACAGACTTTGAGACTGGGAGGTGTAATTCTCCCGGGAAAATTGGACGGCTTTACCCCAAAAGGGAACGGATGCTGGGCAGGCACGAAAACATCAGATGGCCACTGTGTTTTCCTGGGTTGCGGTGGTAAAAGGTGTATTTTGGAGCCTCTGGCTCTGTTATACCAAGTCTGAAGGCATCACCATCCTCCCTGCAGGCACAGCGCAGAGGAACACTGTCTGTGAGCCGCCTTCCCCAGGGGCCAGCCCCAACTGCAGCGCCAGCCCGCAGGACTGCAAGGCCCCTGCCAGGTGACTCCCGGCCCCCTCCTATCCTGCTGACCTTAGCGTGGGGCTGTCCCACCCCATAGGAGGTCCAGGGCACTGCTGGCTGGGGGTGAGGATGGGGTTCAGCCCAGGGAGCCTCTCTGCCAAGCCCACAAGTCATTTGAGGCCCTACTGTGTGCCCAGCTTGCCCTGAGCACACAGGAGACCGAGAAGGCCTAGAAAACACAGTCCTTACTCCCAGGAGCTGACGGTGGGCCTGCCAGAGGCTGTGGGCATCTGAGGACCTATTCTCTATAGAAACGGTTATCGCTGAGCACAGACTCCCCTTGCCCCATCAGGAAAATTGCCAGTCCCATCTCCCGCTTCCTTCCCAGCAGCACCATCCCCCAGGCCAAGCCCACCCTGACCTCTCCAGCAAGCTCTGATGCCAGGATCACACTTCTTGGAGGGGGCACCCCCCTCACCCCAGAAGATGCTTCTAGAATCACTACCCACTCTAGCTCCTCCGTGGGGAAGCTCAATCCAGATCCAGGTAAGTTCTCCAGAGAAGCTGTGCGCTGTCTCCAGGGAAACGGGGTCCGATGGCTGGGCGACTGTGTGTGGCGGTCAGGGCAGGCAGGCACCGAGCTGTGGTCTTTCCCAGAGTGGAGAGAAGAGGGTCTCCGGGTCTTCTGGGGCTGAGGGCTTCGAGGGCCAGAGTAGATAATGGAAGGACTCATTCGTGTCACATTTTGGGTGCCAGACACTGAGGCAGGTGCCGGGGCATGCAGCAGAGCAGGCCAGCCTCTGCAGGTGTCGATTTGATGTCCCCCCTGGTTCCCACGGTGACAGATTGGGGTCCTCAGCTCACTCCTGTTTACACCCAAGAGCCTTCCGTTGTATAGGGATACCACACTTTGTTCATCCGAACAGTTTTTGGATTTTTGAGTGGTTTCCATTTCGGGGCTATAATGAAAAACATTTGTGTGAATGTATGTTTTCATTTCTCTCTTTTTAAAAAATTGATTTGTAGGGCTTCTTATAATTCTTTGTCCTATAATTGTGTCCAAAACATCTTCTCCCACCCCGTGGCTTGCCTTCTCATCCTCTTTACGGTGTCTTTTGATGAAGAGACGTTCTTCATTTCAGTGTAGTCAGATTGATCCATCTTTTCCTTTATGACTAGCGCTTTTCACGTTCTGCTTTGTAAGGCTTCTCCTCTGCTGAAATCTCAATGACACCCTACATTTATTTTCTAAGGTCATTGCTGTTTTGCCTTTGTTTAAAGAGTCCCCATGAATATTCAGTTGAACCCGCACCATTTATCAGATAAATTGTCTTTCCCCCACTGTTTCACCTGCTATCTTTGTTGTAAATCAAGGGTCCATATCTGTATGGGCAGGATTCTGGAGTCTCTATTCTATTCATTGGCCTCTTTGTGTATTCCGTGTGAATACCATTCTCTCTAATTACTATAGTTTTTCAGTAAGTCTGGATGCTTAAGCAGCTACTCCAACTTTGGTCTTCAACAGTGTATTGGCTGTTCTTGGTAATTTGCATATCCGCATAAAGTTTAGAATCAGCTTTTCAAATTTCATAAGATATCCTATTGGGATTTTAATTGGGATTGCATTGAATCTACAGATCAGTTTGAAAAGAATCCACCTCTGCAGTATTGAGTATATGGTATAGCTTTACATTTATTTAGGTCTTCTTTCTTTTTATTTTTAAAATTTTTATTTTATATTGGAGTATAGTTGATTTACGATGTTGTACAGCAAAGTGATTCAGTTATACATATACATATATCCATTCTTTTTCAGGTTCTTTCCCCATATAGGTTATAACAGTGTATTGAATAGAGTTCCCTGTGCTATAAGTAGGTCCTTGTTGATTATCTGTTTTATATATAGTAGTGTATATATATAAAATATATGTTATATGTTAATCCCAAACATATATGTTATATATGTTAATCCCAACATATATATATATATATATATATATATATATATATGTTAATCCCAAACTCCTAATTTATCCCTCCCACCCCTATTTAGACCTTCTTTAAATTCTCCCAATAACGTTTTATTATTTTCTGTGTAGAAATATTTACATCTTTTGGTTAGATTTCTAAGTATTTGGTGTTTCTGATGATGATGTAAATGGTATCTTTTTTAATATTTCATGTTCTAACTTTTTATTGTTAGTATTATTTTGAACTATGTGAAATGCCAGTATTTGACTGTTTCTGTACTATCAAAATGGCAGTTTCATGTGGTTCAATGCAAATATATAGACGCTCAATTGATTTTGATATGATAACATTAAATCCAACTACCTTGTGAAACTCACTTATTTCTTCTAATAATGTATCTTCAGACTCTTTGGATTATCTGTGCACTCAATGATATCATCTGTCCATAACTGCTTGGTATCCTCCTTTCTAAACCTTACCACTTTTATTTCTTTTTCTTGCCTTATTGCATTGCCTATGATCCTCAGGACCAAACTAAATAGAAGTTGTGATAGTAGGCATCCTTGCCTCATTGCTGAACTCAAAGGGAAAGTGGCTACCAAAGTTTTGAGCAGGGCAGTGACAGAGCAGTGAGACTGGGGAGAGGGCTCTGGCAGAGGGGAGGGACTGGAAGCGGGGGTGGGGGGCAGTTAGGAGGCAGTTAGCACTCTTCTCCTGTGTGGCCTTAGACACATTCCTTCCCTCTCTGAGCCTCAGGACTCCCTCTGATGGACATGTGCAGCGTTTGGGAGCTGGCCATGGAGCTGGGGGGCTTCAGTAAAGGGGGTGGTGGTGGGATGAGGGCGAGGCCTCTGTCAAGGTGGCCTGGCCTGAAGCTTCTCTGCTTCTTTTCCCAGGGCTGACCCTGCAACAGCCATGCCCTCAGGGGTCTGCCGACTGCAGGAAGCAGTGTGACCCTGACTACTACCTGGACAGGGACGGTCGCTGCACGGCCTGTGTGAGCTGTTCAGGAGGTAAGGGGCTTGTTTCTCCTCCAGAGGCTCCTTCCAGGGAGCAGGTGGGGTCTTAGACAAGAGGCCAAGAATCTGGGGGTGGGAGCCTTGAGCTTGGTCTCGGATGCTCAGCCCTTGGAGCCTGGTTCACCTTTGCTGGCGTTTTTTGAGCAGTTGGCTTCTAGTGACTTCTACTCACGATTGCGGGTTTTGATGGCCGTGACCCCTTTTCAGAGAGCTTCCATTCACTCAGTCTTTCCTGCAAGGAAATATTTGTTGATCACCTACCTGTTTCAAGCTTGTCTCATTATTTTTGTACATATCCTATGATGCCTGGATTGCAATTGCCCCCCTTTTACAGAAGAGGAAACTGAGGCTCGGGGAAGTCAGGGGGCTTCCAAGGGCCACAAGCCCTCGCAAATGGCAGGGCCAGGATTTGAACCTAGGGAGTCTGCCACTGGGTTCTGAGCTCATCACTCCACTGTGCTGCCTCTTAGAGCGCCTCTGCACAAGCACTTAGGGACTGACTGCTATATGCACGGTGGGATGACGTCCTGCCAGAGTTTCCCCTGTGGCCAGCTCCCCGCAGCCTCACAACACCACCAGCCTCCCTGTGATGTCCAAGCAGCTGCCCAGGCCCCGGGCTGCCATGGCTGTAGCCCCGGCCCACTCACAGTGGCCACCACCACCGGGGGGAGGCGTGATTCTGTCTCTGCAGCAACACGGACTGGAGTCCAGGGAGGCCAAGTGGGGGAAAGGACACTCCGTTCGTGGTCACTGGGGTCACTGTTCCAATTACTAAGGTCACAGAGCAAATTTTCTCAAAACTGAGTGGTGAAAAGCAAACTATTCGCTGTACACGTGGAGTCTGTGGGGCAGAATTCAGACCCAGCACCGCGGGGACACCTGGTCTCTGCTCCACGATGTCTGGGATCTCAGCTGGAAAACTTGAAGCCTGGAGCTGGAATCATCTGAAAGCTATTTCATTCTCGGGTCTGGGGTCGATGCGGCTGCGGGCTGGGCCCTCAGATCCTCTCCATGTCGGCCTCTATATGGCTTGCTTCGGGCGTCCTCAAGTCCTGGGTGCTGGACTCAAAGATGAGTTGGGGTGGGGTGGGGTGTAGAAACCATGCCCATTTTTATGACCCAGCCTCAGAAGTTACACGGCGTAACTTCCACTACATTCTGCCTGTGGAGGTGGTCACAGGGCCCCCTTGAGTCATGGAAGGAAAAAAAAAAGGCTTCTTTTTTTTTTTCTTCTTTTGGCCGTGCCGCGTGGCATGTGGGATCTTAGTTCCCCGACCAGGGACCATGCTTCTTGATGGGTAAGTGGCCGAGCTGGAAGAGCAGACAGACCCAGAGCTATTGCTGTGGCCATTCCTGGAAAATTATCATCTGTCACAGCTGCTGTGTCAGATGGGGAAACAAGAGATGGCTCTGGGCCCAAGAATTCCTTCAACTTGAATAACTGAAGCCCTGCAACCCTGTGGAGTGGAGCCCAAGTGGCTGGGGTCAAGTCTTGGCTCTACTGCTCGGGAGCTTATAAGCTCAAGCAAGTTTCTTAACCTCTCTGGGCCTCAGTTTCCTCATCCGTCAAATGCACAGAATAGTAGACCTCTCTCAGAGACCTGTTCAGGGAGTTAAAAAGCTTAAACCGGGTTAATCTGGATAGAACACTAAAAACACTGCCTTGCACACACTCGGTTATGTTAATACCATATTATAAGTAATAATGAGAGGTTTCAGGAAGACACTGTGCAGTCCCTTATCTTTATCGTGCAAGGCTTCTAAGCCTGTAAGTATCCCGCCGATTGAGAAATGTCCTTATTGAGCGAATCACATTTGTCTAAACTACTGATGCAGTAATTCTATTTTCACCTATAAACAGAGCGTGTAGAATATCCCCAAACATGTATAAATGCATTATTATACTTCTTATTTTACAAAACCACTAACAATTTTTTTAATTTTAATTTTTGAAAAAACCCACTTTTCATCATGGAAAATTTCAAACATATTCAGAAGTAGAGAAAATCAGGAATGGTTACGGACTATCACCCAGTTGTAAAGAATTATCAGTCAGGGCAAGTCTTGGTTCATCTCTACCCACGCCCACTCACCCCTGTTCTCTGAATTATTTGCTTTATTTAAAATCTTATTTTGGGCTTCCCTGGTGGCACAGTGGTTGAGAGTCCGCCTGCTGATGCATGGGACACAGGTTCGTGCCCCGGTCCGGGAAGATCCCACATGCTACGGAGAGGCTGGGCCCGTGAGCCATGGCCGCTGAGCCTGCACGTCCGGAGCCTGTGCTCCTCAATGGGAGAGGCCACAACAGTGAGAGGCCCGCGTACCGCAAAAAAAAAATTTTTTTAATTTATTTTTTTTTATTTTTTGGGATTTTTTCTTTTAATAGTTTTATTGAGATATAGTTGACATACAATAAAATGCACATGTTTAAAGTGTGCAGTTTGATAGGTTTTGCCATATGTGTGTAGCTGTGAAACCATCACCACAGTCAAGACAATGAACTGTCTGTCACTCCCCAAAGGTTTCCTCATGTTCCTTACCATCCCTCCCGTCGCTCCCTGCCTCTGCTCCCATTCCTAGGAAACAGTTATGCTTTCTGTCACTATGGAATAATTTGCATTTTCTGGCTTTTCCTATAAACAGAATCATAGAGTATATACTCCTTTTTTTTTGTTTTTTGGCCGTGCCACGTGGCTGGCAGGATCTTAGTTCCCCGACTAGGGATCGAACCTGTGTCCCTTGCAGTGGAAGCTCGGAGTCCTAACCACTGGACTGCCAGGGAAGTCCCTATATACACCTTTTCTTGTCCGCCTTCTTTCGCTCAGCATAATTATTTTGTGCACCAAAAGATCTGCTCAACGGAATCATCAGATGAGCATGTGCTCCTGGGCAAATATGTCTCTGTCCTCCTGGGGCTTCTCTGGACCCCTGCCCTCTCCATCCCAGTCCTTCCTCAGGACCCTTCTCTGTCCCGCAGACCACCTCGTGGAGAAGACACCTTGCATGTGGAACTCCTCCCGCGTCTGCGAGTGTCGACCTGGCATGTTCTGTGCCACATCAGCCTCCAACTCCTGTGCCCGCTGCGTCATCCGCCCCATCTGCCCACCAGGGATGGTCACCAGGCTCCAGGGTAAGCAGTTCCCACCCCCAACCAAGGGGCTGAGTTCTCTGTCCCTAGGGCTGCACCTCTCCCCACCCCCAACTACAAATGACCTTCAATCCCAGCTGTTAACTAGGTCAGGTTTGGGCTATGTTTTCTCTTTGAATAGTTAGATCCAGGGAGTGGGATAAAATCCAAACTTGGCATTTTGGTAAGAGTTTCTGAGGATTATTTTAAAATTTTTAAATTGTTAAAAAAAATTTTAATTCTTCTTGAAATTGTTGGTCTGGTAAAATCTTGACTTGTTTGCAAGGCTGTTTTATTGACTCAAGACAGATCAATATAAAACTTATGAGGAAGCTTCCAATTCAAATGATGGACGTTCACCAGAGTGTAAAAAAGTATAAACCCTTGACAGTGGACAAAAAAACAAACAAAAAAGAGTTCATCAGCAGATGAGAGATTTCAACAAATTTTTAGAAGGTGGAAAACAGATGGAAGGGTGGTAACAAATGAAACCAAGTGAAGGAAAGCTTACATAACTAGAATTCACTCCACGAGGCCTGCAGAAAAGTGAGGGGTAAGTTGCTCCTAAGACCCACCAGAGAGGCTCTGGGCTTAGAGCAGGTGAGTAAAATGAAGGATGGGGGTGAAGTGGAGAATTAGAAAGTGCAGTGAGCTGCAGCTTCATCTCGAAAATAAAAATTAAAAATTTGTAACAATGCAAAACCCACCAACCAAAGTACAATCTAAAAATAAAACAAACGAATGAATATAACAACAGCAAAAAAAATGTGTAACAATGATATACCATGGGCATTGACCAGTCTGAGAGATGGTGCCTGATTTTTTATCCCCTGATGAAAATGATCAACTTTTTGGCTAATGACACTGAAGGACTATCTAGGGAAAGCTAGATGTTGGCCACTCTGGTGCAAAGCCCCCTTTGCTTGTGTCTTTGGGAGTACATCCTGTCAATGGGCTGTTCCTGCTAAGTCACGCTGAAGTGAAGCCTGCCAGCTCACACTCCGCACCCATGAGCCCAGAGTTCCCAGGAAGACCTCCTGCTGAGGGAAGAGACCCACTGTGAAAATGACATCCTAACAACACAGTAGAAGAAACCCCACCTGCCGCTGGAATGGTCAACATCGTTCTTTTTAAATAAATATGAATGAGCAGTAAAGATTGTCAGACTTATAAGGAAAAACAGCAGTATGAAGGAGAATAACAAGATACACAAACAGAAAAACTTACTACAGGTGAAGCAATGATGAACCCAGGAATGGAAGAGAAAAAAATTAGTGTCCACAGAAAAATTCAAGAAGTTGTTACAACCACAAAGTGAGAACAGAAGGCAAAGAAGAAGGAACAGCAAGAGAGTAAAGGGCAAGAAATGGCTTTTAGAAAGTGCCCTTGTTACCAATCTGTTGCCTCTCAGGTCACAATTCACCCTTGAGTACCTGCTGTGTGTGCCCTAAAGGATTAAACTCTTGGAAGATTTCTCCTCCTTGGGTGTGATGCTATGCTTTGCCAGTAGGGGGAGCTGGAGGACCATTGCAGGAGAAAGGAGGCTTCTCTTGGCTATATTTGTTTTTTCCTGCTCCTGCTGCAGAGTCAGCCTGCAGGGCCTGTGGGTGGGGACATGTGGTGTTGTCCTGCCCCAGTCATGCTTCCAGAGTAGACAGTCCCTCGGCAACCACAGACCCAAGCTAGGTCTGGCGACCGCCTTCCATGCTTCAGGCCTCATGTCAGGAAAAGTGCCATAATTTCCTCTGTGGTCCCACCCTCCCACCTCGCCCCACTCCCAGCCTTGGGTCTTCTGCGCACCATTTCTCGACACAGTTACTGTGTGCTCCCACGGTGGTGCCCCAGCTTTCCCTGTGTACCTGACCTGAAAAGTGAGACTTCAGATTGAAATGACCTACCGGGAGCAAAGCAGGATGAATGAAAATTACCCACATGTAGACATAATAGATGCACCACCATTTATTTATCCATTCACCAGTTGATGGACATCTGGCTTGTTTCCAGTTTAGGGCTATTATGAATAATAGCAGCTACAACTGAATAAAGCAGCTACAACTGTTCTTGTCCAGGTCTTTGTATGGACATATATTTTCATTTCATGGGTAAATACCTAGGAGACGGATGACTGGGTCACTGTGCTGGCCACACAGAATGTCTTTAAGGGCCAGATCAGAGCTGGCCACCTGTGATCTGATCCAACCACATCATTTTACACGTGGAGAGGACCATACATAGTGCCAGAGCTAGAGCTGGAACACAGAGATCCTGAGTCATAGCCAAGTGCTCTCTACTGGACCACACCAGCTCCTTCTTAGTTGAACAGAGAATCTTTTACTTAGCTAAAATACAATTATGTTTGAAAGCAGAATAAAAACATTTTCAGACATAACAGGGGAGAAATTCTGCTTTTCCCCCATGTATCCTTTCTTAGAAAGTTACTTGAAGACGTAATTCTGTTAAATGAGGGGCAAAAAAGAAAAAAGAAAAAGCCACGAACTGTAGAAAACAGTGGTTCTATCCCAGGAGAGCAAAGAAGGGAAGTCGCAGAATGACAGCCGTGCTAAAGACATCACAACTTCCGGCTGAGCCCCGTCAGAGCCAGAAAATGAAGAGCTCCAGGGAATTGCCTGTAGGAATAAAAGGTAGAATTACAATTTCATGAGTAGTAGGGCTGAAAAACTTGAGGATATGGTAAAGGCACATTATTCTTTTATCAACAAGGAAAAGAAAGGTGACTGAAAACTCTAGGGAAAATAAAAAGCTGACAAGAAATGTACAGTTCAATTATGAAGATGAAAATTTCATCTGATTTTAAGCAATTTCTGGTTGTACCAAAAAAGGATTCCATTTGACCTTGATGTTAAGACCGTTCTCCTTCAAATGACCCAAGGATCAGGTATTTCAAGTTAAAGAGAAGTATTTAAGTGTGGTATGTCTTTTTTAGTTTCTCAATTGAGACTAAAAGCAGGCAGCTTCTTTCTTCCCCCTCTTCCAATGGGCCCTCTCCAGAGAACACAGGCAGACCAAGTATGGGCTAAACCATGCCTTCTTCTCACCTTCAGGTCCAAAGAAGGAAGAAAAGGGAGGGTCAGTAACCCAGGGAGAAAAGAGGGTGAGGTATGGTACATACAGAGAAGGGATGAGAGGCACCCAGGAGCGCTGGGCCCACCTTCTCTGCTTAGAGTAAGGGCAGCAGTTCTGTTGCTGGTTCCTGTCGCAGGTGTTCCAGTGGCAGCTCAGACCGAGGCTGCCTTAGAGATAGGCCAGAGGGTGCTAACGGGGTGTAGCCACAGTTAGTGTTCTTGAGCCCAAGAGCTCCTCCAATCCTCTGGAAGCCCACTCTCACTGAATCCCCACAACGTCTCAAATACAAATAGAAATTAGCATAATGAACTGCATTATTTTACTCATAGCCCAAGGCCTCCGGGCTTCAACTAATTTAGGTAATTTTCTGGTGACCACGTGGAAAGACATAACATGTATTTGGAGACCCCCAAAATCAGACGGCTCCTCAGGACCCTACCAATGAAAGAAGAAAATTAATCCTAGCCTCACTTTCTCTTCAGAGTGTTTCAGGAAAAATCTGAGAGGTATCATGAGAGCTTTTAGAAGGGAGGCGTGTGTGGGCGGGAGGTTTGTTTTGTACCACATAAGGGAAGGGGTGCCCGCTCCAGGAACATGGGGGCAGAGAGGGTTAGTAGCTGGGCTGGACCTACTTCAAATGTGGGCCATTTTTTTTTTCTGCCCTAGAAAAGCAGTTAATCATAAGGTTCTAAGAAAGTGCTCAGAACCCAGGCAGGAGGCAGTGTGGTCCAATGGAAGGTGCTCTGGGCTGGGACTCAGGAGCCCCGATTTCTGACTCTAGCTCCAGCTCTGTGGTTCTCTCCATTTGTAAAAGGAGGTGGCTGGGTCAAATCAGAGATGACCATGCTTGAACTGGTCCTCAAAGACATCCTGTCTGGTCAGCACAGTGACACAGCTTTCCTGCTCCTATAGGTACTCAAGTGAAATGAAATTATATGTTTTCACAAAGACTTGTACAAGAATACTCATAGCTGCCTTGTTTATAATAGCTTCAAACTGGAGACAACCCAAATGTCCATCAACTGGTCACCGGCTAAATAAATGGAGGTACATCTCTACGATGGAACAACTACTCAGCAATAAAAAGGAATGAATTACTGAGACAAGCAACGTGAATGAATCTCAGAAACATTATGCTGAGTGGAAGAAGCCAGACACCAGAGTACACACTGCACAATTCTGTCTAATCAAGTTCTGGAGGCAAACTCCTCTGTAGTGACATAAAGCAGATCCGTGGCTGCCCGGGTATGGGGGAGGATTGATTGCAAAAGGACAAGGGAACTTACTGGGGAGGTGGGAATGTTCTAGATCTTGAGTGGAGTTACAGTTACATGAAGGTACAGTCATCCCTCAGTATCCGCGGGGGATACCCAAATCTGGCGATGCTCAAGTCCCTTATGTAAAATGGCAAGGTACAGTGGGCCCTCCATCTCTGCGTGTTCTGCATCTGTGCGGTCAGTCAGTCTGCAGTTGGTTGAATCCTCAGGTGTGGGATCCTCGGATGTGACCCGCAGATATGGAGGGCTGACTGCTGAATGTATACATTTCTCAAAACTCAACAAACCGTGCACTTAGGGAACATTTCCTTCTATGTAAATCATGCCTCAATAAAATTGATTTCAGAAGAAGAGAACTTTAAGAATTGAGGCGACATTTACATACCAGAAGATGTTTAAATTTATTTATTTGTTTACATTTATTTAATGAGATTTCTCTTAAATGAAACCAGGAAGTCTGCAGTCATGAGGCCACCTTCCCGCATGGTCACAGCTGGCTTGAGATGAGGAGTAGCTTTCTTTTTGTTTTTTGAAATATTTATTTATTTAGGCTGCTCCAGGTCTTAGTTGCAAAATGTGGGATCTTTAGTTGCCGCGTGCAAACTCTTAGTTGCGGCATGCAGGATCTAGCTCCCCGACCAGGGATCAAACCTGGGCCCCTGCGCTGGGAGCACAGAGTCTTACCCACTGGACAACCAGGGAAGTCCCCCAAGGAGCAGCTTTTCCACTTTGATCTTTTGAAACACAAATCTGATCGTCTTAGCCAATTAGAGCCACAGGAATAGTGTGTTACAAAAACCTGGACATTGCAGCATTGATCTCTCACTCCTCCGTGGGTCAGCTGGGCCGCTCTGCGGTCTTGCCAGGGCTTGAAGCTTTGGTTTGGGTTTGCTCTGCATGTATACTTCTGGGACCAGCGGGGGCTGTGGCTACCCGCCCCTGGCGTGGTCTACTTATGGCAACGGTAAGAGTGAAGAAAGGGGGGCGGTGGAGGTCAGATGCCTCTTGAGGCCCAGCCGTCGCTTCTCTCCCGTTCCGCTGACCAGACAAGTCACACGGCCAAGTTCAGACACCAGAGGGGTGGGGGACACACGGACACCTGCCTTGACCTTAAGGAGCTGCAGAGTCACCTGGCAAAGGGTGTGGATGTGGGGCAGGATGCAGAGGTGGGACCACAATGCAATCTACCACACCTATCCCATCCTGTTGCTAATTAAAACCATCACTTTGGGGAGAAAGACCCAGCATTTAAAACAGCTTTATTGCGGTCTAATTTACATACCATAATATCTACTAGTTTTAAGTGCACAGTTCAGTAATTTTAAAGAAATTTACAAAGTTGTGAAACTATCACCACCTTCTAAGAAAGATTGTAGGTTAGTTAGTTGACTAACCCTAACCCTTGTAAGGCATGGGTCAGTCAATCCCATGCCCACCCCCCAGCCTGAATAACCACTAATCTACTTTCTTGTTCCTCTAGATTAGGGTTTGGGGGACATTTCCATAACATGCATCCTTCTGTGTCTGGCTTCTTTCACTGAGCATAACACTTCCGAGGCTCCTCCACGCTGTGGCTGTATTACTGCTTTGTTCCTTTTATTGCCAAACAATATGCTAGTGTACACGTCTACTACATTTTGTTCATCTGTTTCCAGCGGATGGGCGTTTGGGTGGTTTCCACTTCTTTGACTTCTATGAAGAATGCTGCTATGAGCATCCCCCCACCTTCTATTTCCTCTGCTTAGAAATCCCCACCCCTACTCATATCCCAGCAACCCCTTCCTCAGGGAAGCCTCCCTGGTCAGATGAGGTCAAGTCTCCCATTACAGGGACCCCACCTGCCTTCGTGTGACGCCTAAGTCTGTGAGCCCCACCAGCCGGTGGGCCCCCAGGGGTGGGGATCTTGTCCGTTTTGCTCACTGCTCTGTCCCAGATCCCAGCACAGTGCCCAGTACGTAGTAGGTGCTGAATAAAGGGTTGTTACAGTGGAGGGAAGCGAGGAGGGAGGGAGAGAGGAAGTGAGGAGACAGAGCCAGGACACAGACCTGGGTCTGCCCAGCTTCAGTGTCCTTGCCGCCCCATGGTGCTACCTCTCTGGACGTCACTAGTCCAGATGGGTAGGGCTCCTTGGCACTGATTCCTTTTTTTTTTTTTAATTTAATTTTAAAAATGGAAGTATAGTTCATTTCCAAGATATTGAATATAGTTCCATTGCTATACAGTAGGTCCTTGCTGTTCATCTATTTTAAATATAGTAGTGTGTATCTGTTAATCCCAAATTCCCAGTTTACCCCCCCTCCCCCCTTTCCCCTTTGGTAACCATCCTTGGTACCAATTCTAACCTGCAGATACGGCTGAGAGGGACACCACCCATGAGCCACCTCCCCCGGGGACCCACTCTAACTGCAGCACCAACGCAGAGGACAGCGGGGTGCCCGCCAGGTGACTCCTTGGCCCCCTCTCTCGATTTGCCCTTCATGCCCAGGGGATGCCCGGGGGGCAGCCGGCTGGGAGTGGAAGTGGGGCTTGGGCTAGACTTCTGGGCCAAGCCCACAAGTCATTTTGGAGAATGTGGGCCTAGGTCTGTGTTGGCACCATGGAAGGCCTAGAAACCCAGGCCCTGCCCTCAAAGTGCCTGACAGAGGCTGTAGGCAGGGGACCTGGGGTCTCAGGCCTCCTTTTCCATCTTGACTGGCCTTCTTACTTCTGGCCTCTCTCCCCGCAGCCCCACCCCCTCCCTGATCTCCCTGGCCGACTCCCTGACTGGTAAGGAGCGTGGAGGGGACGTCACCCACGTGCGGGGACGCGCCTCTGTCTCAGCCAGCACTCCTATATCCTCCTCCACAGGGAAGCCCACTCTGGTTTCAGGTAATGACCACCCCCATGAAGCAAGGCCTTCCTCCCAAGGAGGGAGGGTTCTCCCTAGGCGACAGCATCCACTTGGTTGGAGGTGGGAGGGACCAAGCCTGACCCCAGGTCTGCGGTTTCCTGATCTGGGGCTGTGACTCTGTCACTCGCTAGAGATGATTCCTTAATTCTTCTGAGCAGGGATTTTATTCACAGCTTCACCCGCATGGCCCATCATTGCTGCTCAGAAAATATTTGGTGACTGATTTCATGACCTTGACTAGTTTCTTTCTTCTTCTGAGCTTCATCACCTGTAACGTTGTAACAGCATATATACCATGCAGGGTAGTAAGCAGTGTCCAGTACACATGAGCCTTACCGGCTCCCCTTAGACGGTCGCTCTAAGTACCATGCGTTTTAGGACTTGCAGTTCTAATCTTAGACACTAGGTGGCAGTAGTTCTCAGGCCAGCGGCGCTCAAAGAGGTCCTGGGCTTGGCACCATCAGCAACTTGTTAGAAAAGCAAATTACCAGCCCGACCCCGGACTACTGAATCAGAATCGGCATTTTAACATGGTCCGCAGGAGATTCACATGCACAGGAATGTTTGAGAAGCACTTATCTGGCACATGCTACTTTTTTAACATCTAAAAATGGACTTTAAAGAATAATAACTATATATTGATTTTCAAAAGTAGCAAAGCAAGTTAAGTATTAAGTGGTAAAGAAATATATCCAGATAGTGGTTAAGAGCGTGGGCTCTGGAGTCCCCCTGGCCTGGCCTAAGGTGCTTCCTAGAGCCAGGTGAGGAAGGACAGGTGGGTAAGCGCTGGACAAGATAGATATAGATAGGATCTGGGTTTCTGTCCTGGCTTGGCAAAGGACCAGGTCCTGTCAGCCACAGTAGAGTCTGTGTCCAGGAGGAAGAAGTCTGGGGCGAGGGCTGTCCTGTGTGGTTGCTCTAGGGCCCCGGCTCACCGCCATGGTGCAGACTTCGGGGGCCACCAGTGCCAGGGCAGGCGAGAGTGCAGGGCGCCTCTGTGTTCCAGGACCTGTGCTCTTCTGGGTGATCTTGACACTGGTGGTGGTCGTCAGCTTTGGCTCCTTTCTCCTGTGCCACCGGAGGGGCTGCAGGAAGTGGATGGGGCAGAGTGAGTGCATGTGTCCTTGGGGCCTTGGGAGGGCAGGGTGCTCTGTCCTAGCCTGGCCTGGGTCCCTCTCCCGCCCTGCCCGCTGAGGCTGTCTGAGGCTGGCATCCCTAGCCTTCCTCCCGTTGTCGTTTCAGAGCTCCACCTGTGCTACCCAGTCCAGACCTTCCAGCCCAAGCTGGAGCCTGTGGGTGAGTGTCCAGAGGTCCAAAGGGGCTATGTGCAGCTACACAGCAGCTCTGGACCGTGGGTTTGGATCTCCCTCGGGGCTCCCTCTGTAGGGGTTCCCACAAGCTGCTCCTCCTTTCTGTGCAACCTCATCTGTGATGGGAATATAATGTGGGTGGAAACTTTGTGACACACCCTGTTTGGCGTCGGATGGAGCGCGGGCATGAAGTTTCAAAAATCCACCTTATCTTCCATTCTTGCCTCTATTGTGCCCTCAGGAGAGGCCTTCCCTTCCTCTCTTCTCTCTGTCGCCCCTTCCCAGCCTCCCTATTATTTTCCCCTCCCCATTCCTCCCTTCCTCCCCTCACCCCCTCCCTCCTGCTGGCAGCTGAGGGCATAGGGGTTGGGGTGGGGGTGGGTGTAGGCTGACAGGGCTAGAATCCTGATTCTGCCCCTTATGAGCTACATGACCTTGGGTGAGTTACTTAATTCCTCTGTGTCTCAGTTTCTTCATCTGTAAAATGGGAACAGTGGGGCCTAATTCAGAGGGCGGGCATGTGGATCCGTCGCGATGGGCCTGTTAAGTGCTGTGCGGGGCACCTGCACGTAGTCAGAGCTCAGCACATAGTGGCTGCTGTTTGCTGATGCCCGCCCCCGTGTCTGGGGCCTTTTTACTCAGCAGGAGTTCCAGGCCTTCCTGAGTTCTACGTTTTTCTGAACTCCTCTCTCTGATCCCTGGCCAGCCTCCAAGCCACCTCTTCCAGGCAGCCTTCCATGCTCCACCCATCCAGGCAGCAGACTCTTTCAGCTCTCACCTCGGGGGAGGGGACCCCAGCCATCTTGTGCCAAGTGTCTCCTCTTCTCTGGGCAGCCTCTTTCAAGGCAGGGCAACGTCCTCCTCAGCATGTCACAAGCATTGATTGAGCACCTACTGTGTACAGGCCCTGACCACAGGGGAAGGAGTGGACACAAATGGTCTGGTTTCAAGGCAGGCTCCCGCAAAGGGACTCACTGACTGAGGAGCCCCAGGGGAGGCAGGTGATGCTCTTCATTCCGTAAAGAAGAGACAAGACCCGGGGCCACACCACCTGTAGGGGCCACACCAGACTCAGGTGCTGGTCCTGGAGACGGCTGGTCTTGTTTGTAGAGGGCTCAGTCCTGCCCCCCCCTTCCTTCCTCCCCACCAGGTTGTCTACCACCCAGTGCCCACCCTGGAGCCCAGTGGTCAACTCAGACCGTGCCCCCCAGGTCCCCAGGCCCCGTGGAGAGCCTTGCTGTAGTGCGGTTTCTGACTTGGGCCCCTGAACACAGTCCGGTGAGGCATGTTTTGGATTTGATGAGTTTCACAAGCAGGTGCTTGCGTTCCCTTCGCAAGGGGGGTTTTTGTGTTTTGACAATTTCAAGCCTTTTTCCGTGAGCTGTCAGGCTCAGTGTCTCACTGAAACCCGCGTTTGCTTTCTTGACATTTTTCTAGTATTAGAGTTTCCATTGCTGTCAGTTTATTTTTTTTTCTTCAAACCTCCGTGATAGCAGTTTTGTCACACACACACACACACACACACACACACACACACAAAGACAGAGAGCCAGAAAGACAGAAAGCACCTTCCCTTAAGAAACCAGACCTACCAGGAACCAAGCCTGGGGCTCAGTGGTGGCCACTCTGTTTTGGGCCGTTTCTGGCCCGCTGGCTTCCGGTGGGTCCCTGGGGGTCTGGTTCCCAGGCCAGAGAGGGAAGGAGGTGCTGCAGGGGGCAGGATGCGTGTGTACTGAGCGGGGTGGATGCAGTGGGGGCTGGAAGGGTGCAGGAGCTTTTATTCACTCGTCTGCTCCTTCATGTCTCCGTGGGACACTTCCTATTGGCCCTGGGCTGGGTACGGAAACTGCCCTCCCGGGCTTTCAGACCAGCATCAGTTGCTCAAATGACTAAAGGCGAGCGGGATGGAAATGGTTGCCCCAGCCCTCCCGGTCCCGGAGCTCCAGGGCTGGGGGAGCCCCTGGTGCGGTAAGCCGTGCGTCAGCAATCTGGGCAGATGCCCCTTTGATGCTCACCTCCATCTCTGAATGGATTTGACTTGGTGACAGGCACACACGTGTTCTCATTTTACTCCTCCTTGTGAGGCGCCCACTGTTATCCCCATTTCACAGATGAGAAAGCTGAGGCACAGGAAGATGAAGGAACTTGTTTAAGGCCACTTGATTAATGAGCAGTACGACCAGCCAGGATTTTGTTGGTGGTGGTGGTGAGATTTTTGCATAAAGGTTCTCACCCTTGGCACTGTTGATATCTGCATGGGATCATTCTTTGTCAAGCGAGTTGTCCTTTGCGTTACAGGATGTCAGGCAGTTCCCTGGTCTCTAGACACCCGGGATACTAGTAGCTCCTCCCATCTGTGACAGCCAAAAATGTCTCCAGGTATGGCCAAATTTCCCCTGGAGGGGAATGTCACTGCTCGTTGAGAAACACTGATTGAAATTCTTTTAACCCTTCATTTTAAAGGACACTATAGTCATCACTTTATCTGTTACTTCAGGCAGGTTTAAGTTGGAAAAATTTTTTGTTTGTTTTGAAACAATTTCAAACGTACAGAAAAGTCTCAAGGATGGTGCAGAGAACTTATTTTATTTTGAAACATTTGAGAGTAACTTGCTGACATAATGTCGTATCATCCCTGAGTACCTGAGTGTGTATTTCACACGACTGTAGTCAAACCATCAAAATCAGAGAATTCACTTTGATGCATCACCACCAACTAATTCTCAGACCCCACTCAAGTTTCTTCATTGATGCAAATAATGTCGTATAGAGCAAAAGAATGCAGTTCAGAGTCTCGTACTGCATTTGGCGGTCGTGTCTCGTGTCCCCTCCAGTCTGTATTTCCCTCCTGGTCATGACCTTGCCACTTTGGAAGATTCCACCAGTGATTCTGTGGCTGGCCCTCACCTTGGGTTTGCCTGACGTTTCCTCACGCTTGGACTCAGGTGGTGCGTCTTTGGTGGGAGGGGTCATCCACCCCGCCAGGTTTCCCTTTGTCCCTTCCCTGCCGTGTTCACCGTGAGCCCTTGATTAGGGTGGTGTCTGCCAGGCTTCTCCACCATGAAGTCCTCTTTTCTCCGTGGTTATTGCTAAGTACTCTGAGGCTCTGTGCATAACTGGTGCCTCATCAACTTTGCTCCATTTCTGTATGTATATCTGTCTGGACTCATGGATTCCTCTCTTACTGTACTGCCATCATTACTTAATTTGATGCTCAAATTTTCCCAGGTTAGGCCAGTGGGGGCCCCTTCAAGCTGGCTGTTGTGTCCTTTTGTCCCCATCCTTCTGTGTTTGGAGCACTTGTTTTTTCTTTTTTCTTTCTTTCTTTCTCTTTATTTCTTCCTTCCTTCCTTCCTTCCTTTCTTCCTTCCTTTCTCTTTCTTTCTTTCTTTCTTCCTTCCTTTCTTTCTTTCTTCTTCTTTTTTCCTTTTTTGGTGGAGATGGGAGAGTTGTGGGATCTTAGTTCCACAACCAGGGGTTGAACCCTAGCCCTCAGCATTGAGAGGGCCGAGTCCTAACCACTGGACCGCCAGGGAATTCACTGGAGCACTGCTTTATTCTACGATATTCCCAGCTTAGCTTGTAATTCCCTGCCCTGTCCTGGATTTGAATCTAGGGGTGCTTGTTGCCAAACGCCTTCCTTGGGTCTGTTCTGCTTTCCACAGCAGCCGGGACCCCAGGCCAGAGAGGGGATGGGACTGAAAGGGAAGAGTGATGGGAATGGAAGGGATGGATAACTTGGGTGTCAGAACCCACGTGCTTGGCTTGAGCAGCCCTCAGAGAAGCCCTGGGAAACCAGGCACTTCTCCCCGAGGGAGGAGGGGCCCACCGATGTCCAGTGCGTGTGTCCCTGGACTTGTGTCCTGGGATGCTGGACATATTTTATGAGAAAATTGTTCTTATTCCAAAGAGCAAGGATACCAATAAGTGAAGACAGTGGACTGAAGCAACATTTTAGGGGAAAAGCACTTATGAAATCTGACCTCTGTACTTGGCACGATTTGCTCTAGGTCTTTATTAAAGTACACATGAGTGTTGTAACACGCCTGTAGGCCGACGTTGGTGCCCTCTGGATTCTGCCTTTTCACCTCGATGTTATTTTATGCTTGTTTCCGAGAGTCAGTATCGAATGTTGGTTTTCTTTTTGGTGTGATGGAGTTGCTAAGCCACTGGAGTATCCTGGGGCCCCTATGTGCTAGGCGGCATCCCGGTCACCTTCTCTTTTAAACGTTTTAATTAAAAAATTCTAAATGGACTTCATTTTTTAGAGAAGTTTTAGACTTACAGAAAATTTGAGAAGTTAGTACAGAGAGTTTCTGTATAGCCCACACCCAATTTCCTCTATTATGAGCATCTTACATTAGTTCGGGTAAGTTTGTCGCAATAAACGAACCAATACTGATACATTACTATTGTATTAACTAAAGACCATACTCTGTTCAGATCTACTTAGTTTTGCCTAATGTCCTTTCATTGCTCCAGGATCCCACCCAGTACACCACATTACATTTAGTCATCATGTCTTAGGCCCATCTGGCCTGTGACAGTTTCTGGCTTTCCTTGTTTTTGCTGACCTTGGCAGTTTTGTGGAGTTAAGTTGCATCCTACAACTTGCTTGTCGGTTAAGTTGCAGGATGGCTCTCTGCTTAGAGTTTGTCTAGTGTTTTTCTCCTGATTAGATCGAAGTTGTGGGTTTGGGAGAGGAAGACCATATGGGTTCAGTGTTATTTTCATCACGACATATCAAGGGTTTTGCTCTCAACGTGATTAATCCCTGGGCACCTTCACTTTTGAGATCTCATTTAATCTTCATAAAAACCCTCCAAAGTTGGCATGATCTGTCCCCTTTTCCAAATGAGAGAACTAAAGGCTGGGAAAGGTGAAAGATGCCATGCTGGGGTTTCACTGCTAGGAAGGCCTGTGATGAAGGACCGCTAAGCTGCTTTATTGTTTGGCACCTGTCTTGTTTGCCACTTTTTGGTTATTATAAACTGCACCGCTGTGCACAGGCTGGTCACTTTCCTTCGGGTTATTTCCTGAGGGTGTGTCCCTGAAGACGGATTACTGGGTCAAAGTGTGTAAAGTTTTCATTGCCCGATGGCTTTTGAGAAAGAGGAAACCAGTTCACAGGCATCAGCAGCTGTGTTCCTGTTTACCCACGTCCTCTCCAAGACTGCATTTTATCATTTTAATTTCTTTTGTCTTGTTACTTTGTCACATCCTTTTTTCCCTCCAAGACTTGCTGCCAAATGACAGTTGGCTATTTGCAAAAGTCAAAATCACTCTCAGAGGAGGAAGATTTGGCTTCACTGACATCATTTAAAAGAATGTGCCTCGGGGCTTCCCTGGTGGCGCAGTGGTTGAGAGTCCGCCTGCCGATGCAGGGGACGCCGGTTCGTGCCCCGGTCCAGGAGGATCCCACATGCCGCGGAGCGGCTGGGCCCGTGAGCCATGGCCGCTGAGCCTGCGCGTCCGGAGCCTGTGCTCCGCAGCGGGAGAGGCCACAACG